GTTTCTCGAGTGCGTTTTTAGGAACGCGTTTCATCGGAAATAATGCCACCGAAGCCATCTGCAAAAGGTGCCAAAAAGGCAGCGAAGTCGCAAAAGGTTCGAGGCGGCGACAAGAAGCGAAAGTCGCGACGCAAGGAGTCGTACTCTGCCTATATTTACCGTGTGCTCAAGCAAGTGCATCCAGACACAGGTTTCTTTTTATTAATTGAAACGGGCGAGTGGTTATGGAAAGATTTCGAGGGTCATTGTGCGCGGGATTGTTATTTTTTCATATCGCTGACGTATTGCATTCTCTGTGAGGAGTTGAACAGCATGAAAAACACGTTACGGACCATTGTCCGAAATTCTCTGGCGGAGTTTTCTGCGGATTTCTGCTCTTTGGGTTGATTGAGAGCAGATTTTTGGCGGTCTTGGCACCTGGAATTCCGAAATAATTATCATCCTCCTGGTTTCAAAAGTATCCAGTTGTGGGATTTTGGTTCGTTTATTTTCAGTATCGAATTGTCGGCTTGGACCCGAATGGTGCGGTACATCTAATTAATTAGTTACTAATCGACGGCGTTTTACAGACATTTTCAAAACTTGTCCTCATTTTGATGTCTCACAGCGCTGTTCATTTTTTGTGGAAGTACGGGGAGGGACCATTTGATATTAATGGGAAGTTATCCTCAGCTGCAGTCGAGCAATTTTTGGTACTTCGCCAACACATTCGTTTGTGTTGCAGGCATCTCGTCGAAGGCGATGTCGATCATGAACTCGTTTGTCAACGACGTGTTCGAGCGTATCGCTGCCGAAGCCAGTCGCCTGGCACAGTACAACAAACGTTCCACCATTTCATCGCGTGAAATCCAAACTGCCGTGCGTCTCATTTTGCCAGGCGAGTTGGCGAAGCATGCGGTGTCTGAGGGCACGAAGGCCGTCACCAAGTACACCAGCTCGAAGTAACACTGCTATTCTTCCCCGTCTTGATCTCCACTGACTGATATATTTTGTGTTATGTGTTGATGTTCTGCCCGTGGCTGAGGGAGGGGAGGAGCCCTGATGATTTGTCGGGATTGTTGTTTCCAAAT